TGGCCCAGTTTCATTCTGCATGTCACTGTCCAGTTTTCCCAACACCATTTGTTGAAGACACTATCTTTTTTCCATTGGATATTCTTTCCTGCTTTGTTGAAGATTATTTTTGGATCCATACATTTTTGGGTCTGTTTCTGGGTTCTCTCTTCTGTTCCATTGGTATATGTGTCTGTTTTTGTGCCAGTAGCATACTGTCTTGATAATTACAGCTTTGTAATATAGGCTAAAGTCCAGACCTGTGATGCCTCTAGGCTTTTTTTTTTTTTTTTGGAACATTACTTTGAGTATTTGGTGTCTTTTCTGCTTCAATACAAATTTTAGAATTGTTTGTTTTAGCTCTGTGAAAAATACTGGTGTTATTTTGATAGATATTGCACTGAATGCATAGATTGCTTTGGGTAATATAGACATTTTAGCAGTAGTTGTTCTTTCGATCCATAAGCGTGGAATGTGTTTCCATTTCTTTCTGTCTTCTTCAATTTCTTTCATAAGTGTTCCATAGTTTTCAGTGTACAGATCTTTGACCTCTTTAGTTAGGTTTATTCCTAGGTACCTTACAGTCTTTGGTGCAATTGTAAATGGGATTGATTCCTTGATTTTGTTTTCTAATGCTTCATTATTGGTGTATAGAAATGTATTAGATTTCTGTACATTGATTTTATATCCCACAACTTTGTTGAATTCATGTATCAGTTCTAGCAAATTTTTGGAGGAGTCTTTCATCTTTTTTACATAGAGTTGTAAAAAAGAATTGTCTGAAAAGAATAAAAGTTTGACTTCTTCCTTGCTGATTTGGATGCCTTTTATTTCTTTTTTGTTGTCTGATTGCTGAGGCTAGGACTTCCAGGATTATGTTCAACAACAGTGGTGAGAGTGGACATCCCTCTTGTGTTCCTGACCTTAGGGGAAAAGCTCTCAGTTTTTCCCCATTGAGGATGATATTAGTTATAAGTCTTTTGTATATGGCCTTTATGATGTTGAGGTTATATTACTTCTATCCATACTTTCCTGAGAGTTTTATCAAGAAAGGATGCTGTTTTTGTCAAATGATTTTTCTGCATCTATTGAGAAGATCATGTTCTTATCCTTTCTTTTATTAATGTGGTATATCACGTTGATTGATTTGTAGATATTGAACCACCCCATCTGTGCATAATTAAATCCCACATGATCATGGTGAATAATTCTTTTAATATAGTGTTGGATTCGATTTGCTAGTATCTTGTCGAGAATTTTTACATCAATGTTCATCAGGGAAATTGGTCTGTGTTTCTTTTAAGTGGGGTCTTTGTCTCATTTTGGAAAGAGTGCTTTTCAAAGATCTCTTTGCCTTAAAACCTCTGAGTTTTTATGCCTAAGAACAATATTATTTCACCCACTTACTTAACTGATATTTTATTGGTTATAAATGTCTAGGTTCAAAGTTCTTTACCTTTAATACTTCAATTATTATCCCATTGTCTTCTTGTACCCAGTGTTGTTGAAAATTTTCATCCTAGTCTTTTCTAGATCTTTATTTTTAAACTTCTCAAATCTTATAAATGTTCTTCCTTTGTCCTCAAACCTCATACTTTCTATACCTATTATCCCCATTTTGATTTGAGTCAAAATAATTTGTTCTGTCTTGTATTTCATTATCTTCATTTATCATTTTAAGGATGCTTATTCTGCTGATTTGTAATTCTTTTCTCTCTCTTTTTTTTTTTGTTTTTGCCTAATATGTTATTTCTGTTTCATCTGATTAAAATGTTGTGTTTATTGTCTTTTTAAAAATAACAACCAAAGTCTTAGGTGATTAATTATGAAGATTCCTAGAAGCTGTGAAGTGAGGTTTTTTAATGGATTTTAGATCTCAAAATCAATTTAGTGTAATGGGGGTATAAATGTAATCAATAAATTAGGGATAAAAAGACAGTTGTGTAGGTGGATGACAGAAATGAAGGTAGAGGTGTTAGAGAAGAAAAGAAGAGCCTCCAAGGAGGGTTTTCTATTGAAATACAAGAAACCTAAGCATCTTTATAGGCAACAGGGAAAAACTAAGATGCAAGAGAGTGGGTCATTTATGATGCAAGTTTTCAGAAAGAGAAGAGATAAATGATATACATAATCAAGAATATATTTTAAAACTTTCACAGACTGTACTATAGAAGAAATAAAATATACATATTTATTATCCTAAATCCTTTAAAGATCTCTTGATGCACATGGAATAATATGTAAAGTGCAGACCATATGTGAAATCTAAAAAACAAAACTAATGAACAAACAAAAAACAGAATCAGACTTATAAATACAGAGAACAAACTGAATGTTGCCAGAGCAGATGAGGGTAGGGGATGAATAAAATGGGTGAAGGAGAGTGTGAGGTATAGGCTTTCAGTTATGAAATGAATAAGTCACAGGAATAAAAGGCAGAGTATAGGGAATACTGTCAATGGTACTGTAATAGTGTTGTATGGTGACGGACAGTAGCTACACTTGTGGTGAGCATAGCCTAACATATAGACTCATCGAATCACTGTGTTATATACCTGAAACTAATGTAACATTGTGTGTCAACTATACTCAAATTTTAAAAATTAAAATAAATCAATAAATAAAATCCAGACATAGTCAACAGCTGCACTCTTGAATATGGTACTCACTAGCCACATGTGCCTATTTGAATTTAACTTTAAATTAATTAAAAATCAATAAAAACTTTAAAAATTAAATGAAATTAAGTATTGAATTTCTGAACTTAAATGCTCATTGAGACAAATGAATGGATACAGAATATATGCTATATATCTATATCTATATCAATGTCTATATCCTCTATTCCAATATAATGGAATATTCTCAGCCATAAAAAAAAGAAATGAATGAATCTTGCCATTTGCAGTGATGTAGATGGAGCTAGAGAGTATTATGCAAAATGAAGTAAGTCAGTCAGCAAAAGAAAAATTCCAGATGATTTCACTCATATGTGGAGTTTAAGAAACAAAACAGATGAACACAGGAGGAAAAAAAAAGAGGGTCAAACCATAAAACAGACTCTTAATGATAGAGAACAAACTGACATTTGCTGGGGGGGGCGGGTAGATGAGTTAAATGGGTGAGGAGTATTAAGGAGGGCACTTGTTGGGATGAGCACTGGGTGTTATATGTAAGTGATGAGTCACTAAATTCTACTCCTGAAACTAATATTACTTCATGTTAACTAAGTAGAATTTAAATTAAAACTTGAGAAAAAAAGATTTAATTCCTCAGTTAAATTAGCTATGTTTCAGGTGCTCAGTAGCCATTATGTGGCTAGTTGCTACTATATTGGATGGTGCAGATGTAGGACATTCCTATGCTTGCAGAAACTTTTGTTGGAAACCACTGGCCAACCTAGAGGGCCTACTTTTCAACTTCATCTCAAACTCATCTCTTGCTCCATTCCCACTAACCAACATTCTTTCTGCAACATACATGTTTCTACCTTAAGGTCTTTGTATTTTTTGCTTCCTTTCCAAAGACTATCCTTCCCCATGCTATTCATGTCTTTGTTCAAATATCCATAAATCCTCCTCTGACCATTTTCTTAAATAACATTCATTCCTATCAAGGAAGGATATTCCTCTCCCCCACCTGTGTTAATTTCTTCAGACCACTGTTTGTTATTAATCTGTTTAATGTGTTTCCTCATTAGAGTTAGGGCTCTGTGAGGGCAGAGACTTTGTGCTGTTTGCTTTTATAAATCCTGTGCTTACAGCAAGGTCTTGCATAAGTATCGCTCAACAAATCTTTGTTAAATTAATATTAAATAGTGTTCTGCTTTTTTGGCATATCAACTTTAAGATATCTTAGTAGAAGTCTGAATAATTTGGTTCTCTAATGTTCTCAGACATCATGCTTAGAAGATAAAATTAACAGAATCATAAAATATTTTTATATGTCTCATCAAGTTTAGTCCTGGTTGTTTCTGCACATGTTATAGGAAATTCAGAGTGCTACAGTTGTATGCATTCAGCATTCTTATTATCTTTGAGTTTACATTGTATTTTTAAATGTCACTAAAGAGAATGTAGTGGGAGAGAGGAGAGCTATAACTAGAGAGAAAGGGGGGGGCAATCATGGTATTTTTAAAATACAAGCTTTTACAATCTTCTCCAACTAAAGTAGAGAAGAGAAGGAAGACTGTTTTAGAATGGAATTGAGAAAGGAGTGAAAAGCCGATTTAAGTTAGGACTTTACAGCCAGATTTCCAGGACTTCCATCCTGCCTTTGTCACTCACTAGCTTGGTAACCTGGAACAAGTTATTGTGAGTTTTTTTCCTCCCCATTTTCTCATCTGTACAATGGATGTAATGATTGTATCCACTTCTCAAGAGTTTTTGTGAAGATTAAATGAGCCGATGTATGCAAAGCACAAGGAACAGTACCTGGTGCATCTCCCACACTATATGTGTTTGCTGTTGTTACGATTTAAGATGTCAATGATTATTATTGTTGTTGTTGTTACTGCTGTTATTCTTATTAGCCATTAGGGAAAGTTAGATAACATTTTTACATGTATTCTGTATCCATGTGAACCAATTGGCTGGTTTGACCACTGATATTTGAATATCCACCTATAAGACGCAATCAAAACATTTCAAAAGGAAAGTAAAGTTTTAAGAAGTCATCTCACTACATGTTAAGTACAAGGGCTCTGGCTTGAGGCACTTCATGATAACCACTCTATTTATATAGATACCGATTTCCAAGGGACTAGCCCAGGGTGATTTGCCCAGCCATCACCTGCCAGCTGGTAGTAGAAGCAAATGCATGGGAAAGCAACACAGATCAAAGAGTGTCAGGATTACTTCATTTTAAGTTCTAAAGTATCCTGGGTTTTGATATACATATAACCTTAATTTAAATATTATTAAAAACTTTTAAAGATTGCTAAATTTTTTCTTTCTGAATTCAGGCTGAAGCACAACTCTTCTCATTATGCACAGTATTCTAAATGTATTATATTTTGCTAGATGGAAGACGTTATTGAGGATATAATCGGTATGGAATCAAGTTTTAAAGAGGAAGGAACAGACTCTCCTCTGCTAATGCAAAGAACAGTAAGTGTTTCAAGACCTGAGGAGGTCAGTGAGACTGAAATAAATAATAGCATCTGATGATATAGAACAATTTAATTTGATTAGTAAATGGGTTTTTTTTCTATGCTTTTGAAACAGACATAAGATAACATATGAATATTAGAAAATATCAATTGCTGCAGAAAAAGAGTTTATATAATGTTACTGAGGAATAACATTGTGACATTCCATCTATCTATCTATTCCCTGTAAACATCCACCTAATTATGCATCTAATCTACTATAGCATTTTCAATGAGTGATTTAATCTTCAGATTTCCTGAAACACAACATATAATCAACACTCTCATAAGCTAATGGCTAAATTTGGACAATTTTACCATGACTAACAACTATAAGATTCAGAGAGCTCTACATCTCTTAGAGATAAAAAAAATATATTATAACTATAAAAAATCTGACTTTGCTTCAGACCCAATAACCAGAGATCAAAGATGAACTTACGAAAAGTAGAACAGGCCTCACCCTACTTTAAGGCATGTAGACAGATGTCTATGTTGCAATCAGCATAAATTCCTGGAAAGATATGTAATGAAGGGATGGTATCTTATCTCCTGTTTGATTGCTGTTGCCTTCTCATCTCTCATTTATTAATCACTAAATATGTCATTTGTGAAGAGTATGCAAGGTCTTTCCACATAGTCTGAAGGGTTATTGTTGGTTTGTCTTCTTATGATTTTAGACCTTTTAGAAAAATGAGGAAAAATGTGAAGGATTGTGATTGAGCTGTTATTTTAAACATTTCATTGAAAGAAAGCGAATTCTGACTGTATTGTGTAGTATGGATATTTTTCATCAGTAAATCAATGAGCTGGGATATGTTAGTGATGAACATTTAAATTGAAGATCTTAAAAGAAAACTGAAGAAAGTACCCCTTTTTTATTTTCTGTTTCTTTTTTCCCAGATAGACTATCTAAAGAGAGAAGCATCTTTTTCCTCCTTTTCTGTGGTATGCAGGACCTCCACTTTAAAACAGGTCACTAATACTGGCATTGTCTGACAAAGGTCAAATGAGGTTTAAACCTTGTTATTTTTGCAGGTTTTATTTTTATTTTATATTATCATTTTTTGTTTATTAATTTATTTGGGGAAGTGAGGGGAGGGGCATAGAGAGATAGAATTCCAAACAGGTTCTGTGCTGTCAGCACAGAGTTGGACACGGGGCTTGAAGTCACAAACCCTGAGATCATGACCTAGGCCGAAATCAAGAGTCAGACACTTAACTGACTGAGCCACGCTGGCACCCCTATTTTATTTTATTTATTTATTTTGGATGGCCTATCAATTCTTTTTATCTCTTCTCTCTTCAGATTTCAAGCAGCATAATTACATGAAATCCAACTAATTCTCTAGACAAATATATTATTAATGCTAATTTCTCCCTGTCTAATTTCACAGCATGGACATACTATTTTTTTAACTGGTATTCAACTTCTAGGTTTGAGGAAATGATATTAATTTCCTGCAATCTTTTCTTTGTATGTGGTACTCATTAAAATTGTATGGGGCGCCTGGGTGTCTTAGTTGGTTAAGCTTCCGACTTTCTCTCAGGTCATGATCTCGCAGTTCGTGGGTTCGAGCCCCGCGTCGGGCTCTGTGCTGACTGCCAGCTCGGAGCCTGGAGCCTGTTTCAGTCTGTGACTCCCTCTCTCTCTGACCCTCCCCTGCTCACGCTGTCTCTCTCTCCTAAAAATAAATAAAAATATTAAAAAATAAAATAAAATAAAATTGTATACTGAAGCATTCTCTTTGTCAAATGATCTTATGTGTTTTGTAGAGGCTGCACAAAATGGCATACTCAGTACAAATTGGCAATAACTCTCTGGAATTTCCTTTTGATATCCGGAATGTACTTTTAAAAAGATAGATGCTACTGGTCTACCTGTACTTATACAAAGAAATATCTCTGTTGACCAATCATCAATCATTGATAAATCTAGATCTACACATAAACCTAAAGAGTTCAATTAACCAAATCTATTTATACAATATATACTATGGGCAAAGTGTAATACATGTACCATAGGAAGTTCAGTTGAGTAAGACACAATTAATATGTCAAGAAATCACATGATAGTGGGGCAGTGGAGTGAGGTATACCTGAGTGGCAGGGAGGGAGAGTGTGGACCTCAGTGTTAAACCCAGAGTCTAATCCAGACATTGTGCAAGTTGCTTAACCTCTCCTTGCTTTCTTTTGCATTACAAGAATAATTAAAAATATTTATCTTCAAGGGGTCCCTGGGTGGCTCAGTCGGTTAAGCGTCTGACTTCAGCTCAGGTCTTGATCTCACAACTCATGAGTTTGAGCCTCATATCGGGCTCTGTTTGGACAGGTCAGAGCCTGGAGCCTGCTTCAGATTCTGTGTCTCCCTCTCTCTCTGCCCCTTCTCTGCTCATGCTCTGTCTCTCTTTGTCTCTCAAAAATAAATAAACGTTAAAAAATTTAAAAGCATTTATCTCCAAGGCTGTTTTTTTATATTAAGTCTTACTTAGTAACCTGCATGCATACTTTTGAAATGCTAGTCAGAGAGTGGCTCTGCAGTTCAAGGGGAAGAGAAACCTTAAAAATTGAGATTTTTTTGGAAATGCTTTAGGAAAAGATGATGTTTGAAATATAGTTAGGAAGGACAGTTAAGATTTTGAGAGGTAGCTGTGAATGCAGAAAAGTAATAGCTTAAGAGAACAACATAAGAAAAGGCAAGAGGTGAGAAAGAGAGAATGTATAAGAATAGCAGGTATAACAGAGATAGGAAACTCTGAAGGATTTTTATAGTTCATGTGGATGAAAATACAGACCTGTTGGATCCAGAGGAATGTTTCGAGTAAGCATATAAGCCAGTGAACTATTAGGGCAGATGGCAGAACAGGGCTCATCTGGGGCTTAAGCATGAAAGAAATTTGTTTGTTTATGTCATATATAAATTCCTAAGGACTGTTGCATGTGGGCAGCCCTCCGTAACTTTGCCTTTGTTTTCTTCTGTTCTGGCTTTATTCCTAGCCATTGAACAAATATTACCATAGCCTATTCCTAGCTGTGCGCATAGTTCCTTCTTGCTAACCCAGTTTTTGTTGCAGACAAAGTATTTCTTCACAAGGAAGAGAAGTTTCTGATTAACTTAAGCCAATCCTGGTGGCCCTATTTCCTTTGCCAGAGACAGTTTTAAGAATGGGCTTGTGTTGCAATTCTGACATGTTGAGCAGCTTTCTGGGAATTTTCGTAAGCCTTAAAAGTAGACCCAAGAAAGAGAAGGTTTTTGCCTCTCCATGATGTGTCAGGACAGTGTGACTTATGTAGTCATTTTATTGCCCAGAGCTAAATAAACTAAGAAAAAAACAAAACAAAACAAACAAAAGATAGAAGAAAAGACAAGAGAAATACAAAGAAGTGCTGCTTTATATGCCCGCTGGAGAATTCTTCACCTGTGGATTTCACATTATGTAAGATTTTTCCCCCTTATTTTATAAGCTAAGTGTGTTGGGATTTTCTGATTATTATAACCAAATGCATCCTAATGGATACATTCAGTCAGGGTTGGCAACCTACGAGAAAGAGGGCATCGTTTTCCCCTTAGTTCCAGCTAAATCTCTGGGATAATTCTTATTGGATCAATTCCTGTCATGTATCTCTCCCTAAGCCAATTTTTCTGGATCTTGGGCCCACCCTGGAGCTATGGAGTGAGCAGCCCCACACAATAGATTACGTAGACTAAGAGTAAGAACGAGAGCAGAAGTTGTTGCCAAAATAAATATAAATGTATTCTACTGAGGCTAAAACAACAGATGTCTATTACGGTAAGCTTAAAAAGTGAGATATTTATCAACCAACAATAATTATTATTAATTTCTCACCTATTATTTGAAGGTCACTTTTCCATGTATTTTACATATATTTTCTCTAGTTCTCATAGAAATATGCAGAATTTCATATTTAGAGGCAATCTATTGGGTGTGCTGTTGGTCATTTTACCAGTCCCTTGCTGTGGCATAAGCAGAAAACTTTGGACCTCATATAGCTAAGATTTAGCTCAGGACCACTGCATATAGGCTTAACTAAAAGTCATCTATAACTTCTGTTGATGGGAAGCTTGGAATCTGCTGAGGGGCATCTTGGGCCACCTGTGGTGGTCCTTCAACTTTATCCAGGTTGAATGCAGTAGTTCAGGTTTTCACAGATCAATTTAGTCCAGGTATTTCTGACCCAGAAATGAATGTGGACTGATTAGTGACTATAGTTAGTACTTCTTTTTTTAAAATTTTTAAAACATCTATTTGTTTTTGAGAGAGAGAGAAAGACAGAGTGCAAGGGTGGGGGGGGGTGGTAGAGAGAAAGGGAGATACAAAATCTGAAGGAGGCTCCAGGCTTTGAGTTGAGAGCACAACACAGGGCTCAAACTCACAAATTGTGAGATCATGACCTGAGCCGATGGATGCTTAACTGACTGAGCCTCCTAGGCACCCCACTTGCCAGTTACTTCTTACTGCAACTATGTAAACTACACTGCAAAAGAGCCAAAGTGCAAGAAACATTCAGCCAAATCAGGCATGCTTTTGTCAACACCCTCATCTGTCAGTTTCTCCTTCTCTTTAGAGTCATTGTATTTTTCTCTCCCCCATTTACCCCTCTCCTCACATGATAATATCCCAGATCTCGATATTACCATTTTTTTCTATCCCATCATGTTTTTTATTTCACACTTTTTGACCATTACATTCTATTTTTTTCAGTGCATCTACTGTAGTGTTCTTATTTCACCAATTGTTCAAGCTCCAAATCAATGGACTCTATCACTAATGTTTTCAATACCTATTACTTCGCACTTGCAACATTTTGAAAATTTCCTTAACCTGACTAGAGTCCTTGGTCAAGCACTATAACCAATCGTCTTGCAAGCACTCCTAACATATCCCCAATTCTTCCTCATTTTATTTCCCTGGCAAAACTCCAACCCTGATTAAACTT